GGGGGGGGGGGGGTCAAGTGTCTCCTCTGAAAAATCCACGAAACGCCTGCATATCTCAGTTTTCCAAAGTCTACCTCCGGTACGAAAACTACCATCGAAAAATGACCGTCCGCCGCCTTCGCTTAGGTCTAGTGCTAATATCTGACATTGTAGCCCTTGCGATATGCTGCTGACTCGCAGTCCAGGATTTCAACCGATCCGTTCATAATACATCTCGAATGGGTAGTCTTTCTGTGCGTGTTCTTATTTTCCCTAAATTATCGAGATCGGTGAGCGGCAGGATTCTTGAAGCTGCTGCGCGGTCCGATCATAAAACGATTTATCCACCTTTGCTCGTGGCTAGGCCTACCAATGCATGACCCCAAAATCGACTACAGCGACGAGTAGGACATGTGAGGGAAGGGCTGCGCTGTAGTTGGCAGCCCCACACACTCACAGAGGCGCTGATTCGCCCCTGTTGTGTGCTTGAAGCGTTTCAAAATCGAGGCGCATACGGTAGCAGCTTAATGAAATCCCGCTCGTATGCTTAGCTCACCGATCTCGATGATAAACGGATCGTTAGTAAAAAATCGAGGTCCGCGAGTCCGCCGTATACAAAGGGCTACAATCTCAGACACAAAAATTGTACCCAAGCCACGGCGGTGGACGATTAATTTGCGATGGAAGTTTTGTACTGGAGGCAGCTGGAGGTGGACCTTGAAATACTTACATGTATGTACGCATTTACTGGAATTTTCAGAGGAGACACTTCGATCCCCCCCCCGCGCGCCCTTGAGCTACGCCGCCGTGTGACCCAATGCAGCGCCTTTGCTGTGTACAGCAGTAGTAATTTGATCACATACGGAATTACATCATTGGACGCGGACACAGAGAGCGAAAACTCGTAGGCCTCCGAAAGCCTCATAGTTGAAGTTCAGCAGGCGAACCCGCATGCGGTGCGTACAGGCACTCACCGTCACGGTGCTAATGGAAATTTTCAAATCCTTACATCTATTTCTGGGGTAGATTATCCTGAAAGTGAAGAACGTTTTGAAATTGTGTACGATTTCCTTAATGTTGTCGCTGGAGGAACCTCCCTCGTCAACGTCTCAACGTCACGACGTATTTAGTTGCTCCGCCGGCACTGGCGGCTCGTAGCTGTCTGTATCTCAAACGGCAACATGCTGCGTATCCAATCTGTGAGCATGGAACTGGCGGCCACATCTACCGCAAGACCACCCAAACCCCGGGGTTCCTGGCCAGCCTGACTCTCTTCCGTCCGTCCGCCATCCCAGTGAGCAGGAGCAGGGAGTGGTGTGACGGATGCGGGAGAAATAATGACCGCACCCGTCCGGTATTTCCTGCCGCGTGCCCCCTGCCGAGTCCCCCGCCACGAGGAGGCCGTTGGTACATTTGGAACCCGGAGGCGGTTGTTTGTTTGCGCAACGCGGGAGGAGGGTGGTGGCGAAGGAAACGCGGCGGAGGCGATGATGTACACCACACCTCCGTCGACCCTTCAGCCGGGCATGTGAGTGAAACCTCTCCAGGTTAGATGCGCCGAGCCGAACGTTCATGCAATCGAGGAGAACAAGGATTACATGTATCACCTCTCATGATGGGGGGTCCTTTCGCCTCTGGGCACCACGCTCGTGATTCGTCGGCTTTCCTTCGCGTGCGTTGCTCATGTGTAGACGGTGTTTCAATTGGACTCGGGCGTTAATGAGTCTCGGATGATGAGAATCCAGCGCTCGCGGCACGTCCAGCATGTCTTTTGTGTTTTCGAGGTGGCAAAGTGGCTTGTTTTGACCGTTTGGCTTCAGGTGACCTTTCATTATGCACAGCTCCTGCGCCTGACCCACGTTGGCCGTTTTGGCTTTGGCGGCCTTTCGCCAAGCACAGCTCCCTGTCTCATCCACGGTAGCCGCAAACCTAGCTAACCACACCCCTTTGGATTCTTACCTCTGTCAACAACTCGTGACTGCTGCTATAGACCGACACACATTTTTCTACACATGCAATTCTATTGTTTTTTTTGTTCAACACGCCGCCGCCACGAAAGACGTACGCGTGCAAGCCTTGTGTCATGGTGTCGGTCGGCCTTACGAAACGAAAGGTTGTAGGAGGATAGAGCGAGGGAGAGTTTCACGGCTGTCGCGTCTCTGAGGGGCATGGGGGAGAGATAACAGAGGTTAGGTACGAGACGAAGTCGTTTATTAGTGTGTTACGCACGTTGAAATTGTCGGCTGGTCGGGGAAAAACGCAACTGTTTTTGTGCTGCTGCATGTATCACGTTGTGCTGCTGCATGTGTAAGATAGGCGTTAGGCCGTCGACACCCACAAACTGCAGCAAATGGCGTGTGACCATACACATACGCTCACCAAAAACAGAGCGTATTTTCCAGTGTTGATCGCGCATCGCGCACGGCCTGCAACGTGAACCGAAAGCGTGTTCCTGTGTTGACTTTTTTGCACAGGTCCGTTCTGTAGGGTACTGATACTTCTGTAGGGTACTGGGAGAGTTACAGAGCTGTTTGTGAAATCTCTGTAGGGTACTGGGCGAGTATCGAACGTTCTGTGAAATCTCTGTAGGGCACTGGGGTCTCACAGAACTCCTCTGTAAAATCTCTGTATGTGCTGGGGTCTCACAGAACTCCTCTGTAAAATCTCTGTATGTACTGGGGTCTCACAGAACTTTTCGGTAGGGTACTGGGAGAATACAGAACGTTCTGTGAAATATCTGTAAAATCTCGGTAGATACTGGGGAGAGTACCGAACTATCTGTGAAATCTCTGTAGGGTACTTAGGTCTCACAGAACTCCTCTGTATGGTACACAAACAACGTACCTACAGACGAACCCGGTACTTACCCCGATAGTAGCAGCGTCACAGGACATCACGTCCTGCACCGCACAAAAGGACGTCTGCACCGCATGAAACACAATACTGATATTATACTCCGAGATCAACGTGGCTCCGTGCATTCTGATTCTACCCCACCCTACAGCGGCGCCACCATTGGTCTTCCTCATCAACTATAATTAATGAAGCTGACACGAAAAAAAAAAACAGTTCGACTACACCTGACCTGCGGTTGCCTTGGCGCCTCCTCCACTCAGAGGTACAGCAATCAAAACCGCGAAGAACGACAACATGTTACAACAGAATCAACAATCAACTGTACAGAACTTTTCGGTAGGGTACTGGGAGAGTTACAGAACTGTTTGTCGGTAGGGTACTGGGAGAGTACCGAACTTTCTGTAGAATCTCTGTATGTACTGGGGTCTCACAGAACTCCTCTGTGAAATCTCTGTATGTGCTGGGGTCTCACAGAACTCCTCTGTAAAATCTCTGT